GGCCCCCTTCATTACGCTCACACTTACCCCCCCCCCCCCCCCTTCATTACGCTCACACTTCCCCTGGGTGCCAAGTTCAGAAATCCCAGAAAAGCATCCTGATTTGCCCGCTGGAGCCACCGGCCAGAGGGATGGGCTCCTCTGAAGGACTCAGGGTGGGCGCCCAGCCCGGCCCGGCCCTGCCCGCACCGTCCCCGTGGCCCCTGGGAAGACGGCAGGAGGGAGGGAGCGGGTCGATGGAGGGAGGGGTCACTGGGGAAAGGGAGAAGAAGCGGGGAAGAAGGGTCACGGAGCAGACGATCCGGAAGCTGGCGGCTCGCCTTCGCCGAGGATCCCCTGCGCCCCTGCCCGCCTTGCGCCCTCTCCTACCGCCCCCCCCCCCTCCCCACTGTGCGCGCCCCCTCGGGCCGTGCGCGCGGATCTGGTGAGAGATGCAGGCGCACGAGCTGCGGCCTAACCCGACCCGCAGCATTCGCAGCTGGATGTGGCCTGGGACCGGGGTCGAAGTCTGAGCAAAGCAAAAAAAAAAAGTTTCTATGGAACTTAACCGGACAGGGGCGGGGCGGGGCGGGGCGGGGGCGGGGGCAGGATGGAGTTGGGCATTGGACCGGGTGGGGCGGAGCTCGGGCTCCTATTTCTTCGGAGTGGCCTGGCTCCGGCCACCATTGCCGACCGTCCAGGGCTGCCTTCTCTGCCGCCATGGGCCTGGAGCTCTACCTGGACCTGCTGTCCCAGCCCTGCCGCGCCGTCTACATCTTCGCCAAGAAGAACGGCATCGCCTTCGAGCTGCGCACCGTGGAGCTGCTCAAAGGTGGGCCCAGGCTGCTTCCCGGGTGTCCACGGCCCGTGCACCCACTGGCTCCTCGCCCCGCAGTCCACAGAGCTCCCTCACCGCCAGTGTGGTCTCCTCTGCGCTGTGTGGCCGAGGGCAGGTCACAGGCCTTCTCGGAAAGGCTGTGATATTCGGCTCCGATGGGGAGAAAGCTGGATCTTCAGAGTCACCGCCCTAAACAGCACGCTTTTAAGTTCACACAGCCCTTAGACGTTGGGGGGACTGTCCCATGTGGGGGGAAGTAAGGGGTGGGAAGAGCTGAGGCACCCCTCCCCTTGCTCACCCCAGTCCTGTCTAAGTAACTTCTCCTCACCCACCCGCAGCACCTGGCTGCATCCAGCACAGCCCCACTGCCACTCTGAAGGTGGCAGGGCAGGGGTCCCACCTGGGAGTGGGGCAGAAGGCCCAGCAACACCACCCCCAGCCCCCCCACTCCCCCCTCCCCTAACCCCTGCTGTTCCCAGCCTGGCAGGGAGCTCTGGTTGGAGGAGGGCGGAACAGGTGTGTTTGTTGCCCTCAGGCCTTTCCTATTTTAAGAAATATGTTATTGATTTTATAGAGAGGGAGGGAGGGAGAGAGAGAGAGAAAAACAAACATCAATGATGAGAGAGAAACATGGATCAGCTGCCTCCTGCAGGCCCCACACTGAGGATCGAGCCTGCAACTCGCATGTGCCCTGACCGGGAATCGAACTGATGACCTCCTGGCTCCCGGGTCGGTGCTCAACCACGGAGCCCCGCCGGCCGGCCGGGCAGTGCAGGCCTTTTCCGACCTCTTTCTCCGCAGGGCAGCACGTCAGCAAGGGGTTCTTACCGGCCAACAGCCCGCAGATGGTGCCGGTCCTCAAGGACGGCGACTTTGTCTTACACCAAAGGTACTCTCCTTCCACCCGCCTCCGGAGCCCCCAGCCCGCTGGCCCCCAGCTCTCCCCTGCAGGCCCTCCAGACCCCACACGGCACCGAGGGCCAGGGTGAAGGGTGAGATGAGAGCAGATGGCTGGGGTGACCGGGGCTCCCAGGATGACACAGCGCATCCCTGCACCTCTCTCTCTTCCTCTTTTTAAAAAATATATTTAGCCCTGGCCGGTTTGGCTCAGTGGATAGAGCGTCGGCCTGCAGACTGAAGGGTCCCAGGTTCGATTCCGGTCGGGGGCATGTACCTTGGTTGCGGGCACATCCCCAGTGGGGGTGTGCAGGAGGCAGCTGATCGATGTTTCTCTCTCATCGATGCTTCTAACTCTCTATCCCTCTCCCTTCCTTTCTGTAAAAAATCAATTAAAAAAATTTAAAGAATATATATCTATTTATATTGATTTCAGAGAGGAAGGAAAAGGGAAAGAGAAACATCAATGATGAATCATTGATTGCCTGCCTCCTGCATGCCCCCTACTGGGGAGCAAGCCGGCAACCTGGGAATCGAACCCGGACCCTTCAGTCTGCAGGCCGATGCTCTATCCACTGAGCCAAACCGGCCAGGGCTGAGATGAGGTTCTTGAAGTACAGAACAGAAGGTCTGGCCAAGAGTTAGTGCCCAAGACCGAGAAGAAAGGAGACTCAGGAGGGTGCAGTCAGGGGAGAGAGAGGAGGCAGTGCCCGGGGAGCAGGGGTGGGAGGGGAGGCCGGCCGTCAAATGCAGACAAGCCCCAGGGCCCCACGGGGGTGGGGGGCAGCTGGGGATGAAGGCCAGGAGCCAGGTCTTCACAGCCACCGCCCCTGCGTCTGTCCCCAGCGTGGCTATTCTGATCTACCTGAGCTGTAAGTACCAGACGGCGGACCACTGGTACCCACCCGACCTGCAGGCCCGCGCGCGCATCCACGAGTACCTGGGCTGGCACGCGGACTTTATCCGGGGCACCTTTGGGGTGTGCCTGTGGACCAAGGTGAGGGGCGCCGTCCGGGGTGGGGGCGGTTGCCTGTCAGGGGCCTGGGAGGAGGCGGGGGCCACAGACTGAGCCTACACTTGGCCCGTGTCAGGTGATAGCACCGCTCGTTGGGGTCCAAGTGCCCGAGGAGAAGGTGAAGCGCAATAGGGCCGCCGTGGACTGGGCGCTGCAGCTCCTGGAGGATCAGTTCCTGGGGGACAAGGCCTTCCTCACCGGCCAGCGGGTGACGCTGGCGGACCTCATGGCCCTGGAGGAGCTGATGCAGGTACGAGCTTGGCTGGCGAGCGGCATCTGGGGGCAGCGCCCTCTTACCGCAGCGCTGAGGCCTCGAGGGCGCCAGGGCTCCGCCCAGCAGCACAGAGCGCTTCTGGCTGAACTGGTGCTGGAGCCGCCGTCCTGGGCGGGGTTTCCTCCTGGTGCTTTTTAAAAAAAAATTTATTTATTTTTATTATGTTTAATATATTTTTTATTGATTTCAGAGAGGAAGGCAGAGGGAGAGAGAGATAGAAACATCCATGGAGAGAGAGATTCATTGATTGGCTGCTTCCTACATGCCCCACACTGGGGATCGAGCCCGAAACCCGGGCCTGTGCCCTTGACCGGGAATCGAACCCATGACCTCCTGGTGCATAGGTCCCCGCACAGCCACTGAGTCTGGGCCGTGCTGGTGCTCCCGGGCCCTGCGGCGGGCCCTCTGCCCGGGCCTCGCTCACATGGAGGTTGGAAAAGGACCCTGACTGACGCCCGTGCCAGGCCTCCTGGCACTGGGACCTCCGTATCTCACCCACGTTCCCATCCGTGTCCCCTCAGGTGGTGGCTCTCCGCAACGACGTGTTTGAGGGCCGGCCGCGACTGGCTGCGTGGCGTGGGCGGGTGGAGGCGGTCCTGGGGGCCGATCTGTGCCAGGAGACCCACGGCCCCATCTTGAACATCCTGGAACAGGCGGCCAACAAGCAGCTCCCGCAGATCCCCCCTGAAGCCCACCCGCTTATGCTGCTTCGCCTTTCCAGGATCCCCTGAGGGCGGGGGCGCTGGCCGGCCGGCCGAAGACTAGCCACCTTCCCTCTGTGTCTAACTTGTCCCTTTCACCCTCTCCATCCTGTCTCCGCTCTTGTCTCTGACTCCGGGAGGAGCTCTGCACAGGCAGGCCCCCGACTGTCCTCGGCAGCGCCTCTCGGGTGCCGCAGACATAAGCACTGGATGAAAACCCACCATGTGGCCCTGGCTGGTGTGGCTCGGTGGATAGAGCATCGGCCTGCGGACTGAAGGGTCCCAGGTTCAATTCCAGTCCAGGGCACATGCCCGGGTCACGGGCTCCATCCCCAGTGTGGGGCGGGCAGGAGGCAGCCGATCCATGATTCTCTCTCATTGTTGATGTTTCTCTCTCTCCCTCTCTTTTCCTCTCTGAAATCAATAAAAATATATTTTTAAAAAAGGAAATCCCCTCTGTTGCTGTGTGGACCAGGGTGGAGGCAGAGCAGCGGGCCTGGAAGCTGTGAGGTTGGCCAGGCCATGAGAGACCATGGGGATAAGAGATACAGGATGTAGAGTGACAGTGAGGCCGCAGCTGGCGATATAGGGGTGGGTTGGGATGAGGAAGAGGGAAGACTCCTAGGACCTGAGCCCAGGGAGTTGGGGGTGCCCCCCTGAGGTGGGAGCTCTGGAGGAGGGCAGTCGAGGGGGTGGTACCTTTACCAGGTCAGGATGGTTACTCTGTGGACAGAGGCGAGGCCTGGGCTGGGGGTGGGTGGGGCGTGTGTGTGTGTGTGTGTGTGTGTGTGTGTGTGATAGTGGTGGGAGGACACAGCGGACCTAAAACCCTGAACTTCGCGCCTGCAGCTCCTCCCAGCCTTCCTGCCTGTCACCACTACCTGAAGGATTGTGAAGCCACCAGGCTGTCCCAGGCGCAGCTCAGGGCAGCCCAGCAGGGCAGGTGCTGGGCCCCATGCAGAGGGAGGGAGCAGGAGGGGGAGTGTCCACGGCTTGCCACGCCCCGTGGACGAGGAGGAGGGCCAGGCTGGGGACCCTGCTTTTGGAAAACCCAGGGCCAAGCCCCAACAGGGGTACAGCTGGACCTGCTGCCAAGCCCGAGATGCCAGGAGGGGTGGCAGCCTGGCGGGGCCCCTAGCCAGTCATGGAGGAAGTGGGCTTTAGGGAAGGGCACAGACCTCAGGCCCCACTTTTTTTTTTTAATCCTCACCTGAGGATATTTTTTCCATTGATTTTTAGAGAGTGGAAGAGAGGGAGGGGAGAGGGAGAGAGAGAGAGGAACATCGATGGGAGAGAGACACATGGATTGGTTGCCTCCCACATGTATCCTGACTGGGGCTGAGGATCCTCTTTCTCCCAATCTTTCTCTAGCCACAGTTCAGGTTAGACTGGTCAGTGCCTACTTCCAATCTCTGCTTCTGGAACCTTCCAGGATTGGATCTCACTGCCCATCCTCCTTCCGGACCCTGCAAAGCCCCTTTGGTCGCTTCCCTCAAGGAAGGCCTGGCCCTGGGAAGGAATTCCCTCGAGTGAGCCCCTTTTACACACTGGCCACGGGCGATCACATGTGCCCGAGGGAGGGGAAGAGCTGGGTCAGAGGACCCCTGCCGACCCCTCCCCAGCCTCCTCCTGTCTCCTCAGAATCCTTGCTGCTGTGAGAATTCCAGGTTGCATGGCCTCATGACAATCCCAAGTGAAACCGGAGTTCCAGAATGCGGGCTCCTGGCCTGGCTTGGAGAGGGCTGCTGGGTACAGGACCTGGGGCTCAGGCTGCACCTTGGCTCGGGGTCAGGGCCTGCTCGCTGTGGCTGGAGGAGGCCTGTTCCGCATCTCAGCCATGGGCCTGGAGCTCTACCTGGACCTGCTGTCAGCGTCCTGCCGCGCCGTCTACATCTTCGCCAGGAAGAACAGCATCCCCTTCGACTTCCAGTTTGTGGACCTGCTGAAAGGTTGGCACCCGTTGCTTCCCTGGGCAGGCCTGGTCCTGGGAGTTGGCAGAGCACAAGGTGGGGTGTTTCTGAAAAGCACAGACAGAGACCAGGGAGACGGCCTCTCCCCAGAGTCCACAGGGGAAGGACACGTTTCCGAGGGAAGCGTAGGCTGTGCGTCTGTCCCCACTGATTCTGCCCCGCTATGATGAACGGGCTCTTGGAGGGTAAAGGGGGAGAAAGAGCTGCAGAGGGGGCCCCTGGCTCCCACCCAGTGCCCTCACCTTCTCCTTGGGGGAGTCTAGACACTGGTTAGTGGCAGCGCCCACTGGGACATTGGCAAAGGTACAGAGGTGTCTGGTCATCCCACATCTAAGATTCCAGAGGCAGCTTTGGTCTACACCATCCTCCTCATTCAAACCTGCTAGGGTGACACAGACCCAGTGAAGCTCAGGGGACTGGTCTCCAGCACTCCCCTATCCCAAGCACAGAGGTGGCTTTAAAAGCTCAACTTGCAGGAGCCTATCCCCAGGTGCTCCAGAAGTGAACGAGGTGGAGCTTGAAAATGTTTCCAGCCAACGACAGCTGGTCAAGGAAGAGTTCCAGCTTCTGCCCCCACACTGGGTTGGTTGCATGTGAACGGCTCTTTTGTTGAATTCCAGCTGTGTGCTAGGGCTGGGGCTGCCAGCTGTGGCTTCAGGCCCCAGAGTTGGGAGTAGAACCAGCACCCTCCAGCTTCTGGGAGGGAAAGTGTTGTCCTGGTCACAGAGCCTGAATGGGGGCAGGAGTCCTGATCCCGGTCCCTGTTCTGACCTGCCCTGACCTGCTCTCTGATCTGGGGTGAGCCATGATGTCCTCTGGGCCTCAGTTTCCCCTGTTGAGCAAATGGAGGGAAGGACATTTCTGCCTCTGAGATGCCTGGCTCTCTCTTCCCGGGGGTGTCAGCAGCCTGTCCTTCCTGCCCCTGGCAGGTTACCACCACAGCAAGGAGTACACTGAGATCAACCCCCTGAAGAAGCTGCCCAGCCTCAAGGATGGGAAATTCATCTTATCTGAAAGGTAACAGTCTGCCCGGGGCCCTGCCACCGCCTGTCTCTGCTCCTCCTGCAGCTGGTCTGCTGGTGCTGACGGACTTATCTTACCGTGGACCGTCTCCCCCAGACGCCACAGCAGACAGAGCACTAGCCAAGGAGGAGCATGACGCCCCGTGCGCCCATCACCCAGCTCCAGAATTGTCCACTCAGGGGCCCGTTTGGCATCATCTGCACCCCACTCTGTTTCCCGGCCTCCTGGCCACCCCATCACCTCATCCATAAAGTTAGGAATGTACTTTCACTTTTTTTTTCCTTTTTAAAAAATATATTTTATTGATTTTTTACAGAGAGGAAGGGAGAGGGGTAGAGAGTTAGAAACATCGATGACAGAGAAACATCGATCAGCTGCCTCCTGCACACTCCCTACTGGGGATGTGCCCGCAACCAAGGTACATGTCCTTGACAGGAATCGAACCTGGGACCCTTGAGTCCGCAGGCCGATGCTCTATCCACTGAGCCAAACCGGTTAGGGCTCATTTTTCTTTAACATATTTTTATTGGTTTCAGAGAGGAAGGGAGGGGGAGAGAGAGATAGAGACATCAGCGATGAGAGAATCATGGATTGGCTGCCTCCTGCACGCCCCCTACTGGGGATGGAGCCTGTTACCCGGGCTGATGGCCTTCCATGTAGCCTGTGGGCTCCTCCTTCCGCTGGAAGAATGTCAGTGCGTAGAGCCCTCTGGGGCTGGAAGCTCCGCGCTGGGGTGGTGGCTGGTGCAGCTGAGCCGGGCCGGCCCGAGCAGTGCCCGCCCTGCCCTCCCTGCAGCGTGGCCGTCCTCCTCTACCTGTGCCGCAAGTACAGCGCCCCCTCGTACTGGTACCCGCCGGACCTGCACACGCGCGCCCGCGTGGACGAGTTCATGGCCTGGCAGCACACAGCCATCCAGCTGCCCATGAGCAAGATCCTCTGGATCAAGGTGCGTGGGCCACACCCGGGGCTGACCGCTGGGGAGCTTACGCACGTGTCCCTCTGTCCCCGAGCCTCATTCTCTCAGCTCCCTTCCCTCCCCACCCCTCACAGAGCAATGAGGAGCCTGGAGTGAGCCATTGGGGGTGAAAGAGCCTTGTAGAGGCCCGGAGAAGAGCACCCAGGGGGGACAGATGTCACTCAAACCAGGACAGGACTCAAGAAATTTCATTCTCAACGAGAATATATCAGAGTCGAAGGGCCTATAGACACCAGGGATCTAAAGACGACAAATAACAGTTATGTGCCGCTTAACGACGAATCTGTTCTGAGAAATTCATCACCAGGCGATTTTGTTGTGGAACGTGGTAGAATGTACTCCAACCGACCTCAATGGTGTCGCCTGCTGCACACTTAGGCCGCGTGGCTCAGCCCGCCGCTCCGAGGCTGCAAACCTGGGCAGCATGTGATTGTCTGAAACAGCACGAGCTGAGATGCAGGGCAGGGAAAACGGTGCAATGAGGAGAGGTGACAAACACAAGACAAGGCCCTCGAGGCCTGGGGGGTCAGGCGCGAGCCCTGGGGTGCAGCCGCCTCTTCCCCCCTCTCCCCACCCCCGCCAGCTCCTGATCCCCATGATCACAGGCGAGGAGGTTCCAGCTGAGAAGACGGAGGAGGTGCTGGCGGAGGTGCAGCAAAACCTGAAGCTGTTCGAGGAGCGGTTCCTTCAGGACCGGATGTTCATCACCGGGGACAACATCTCCCTGGCCGACCTGGTGGCCTTGGTGGAGATGATGCAGGTGAGGGCTTTGCTGGCGGGGAAACAGCCCAGGAAGAGGGGGACTCCTCCGTGACCAGTGGGGCCATGACTTAGGGATAGACGGGTGGAGAGGGAGACCTGAGGCTGCGGTAGCCAAGCCTGGGTGGCGGGACTCAATCGGGGGCCACAGGACACACAGGAAGTTTTCAAAAAATATTTATCTTGATTGATTTCCGAAAGGAAGGGAAAGGGAGAGAGAGAGAGAGAAACATCAGTGATGAGAATCATGGATCGGCTGCCTCCTGCACGCCTCCCACTGGGGATCGAGCCCGCAACCTGGGCATCTGCCCTTGACCGGAGTCCAACCCGGGACCCTTCAGTCCACAGGCTGACGCTCTATTCACCGAGCCACACCGGCCAGGGCCAACACAGGGAGTTTGAACCGTGGAGGAGGATTGCTAGCATCCATGCTGCATAGGATTCCTGGGTGTGTGTGTGTGTGTGTGTGTGTGTGTGTGTGTGTGGCGGGGGGGGGGTGGGGGGAGGGCGAGCAGGGACAGGGAGGAGAGCACAGCATGTCTTGGTCAGTCGACTGGGACCCCAGATGCCTCTGCCTCTGGATGGATGCTCCAGGCAGTGTCCAGAAGCTTCCAAAGCGTCCTTCTGGCTGTATGGCTTCTTCTCTGAGGCCCAGAGAGCTGCACAGAGCAGCTGCCCGGCCTCTGGGCCTCAGGGGCACCCGCTGCGCATTTGGGGGCAAACCTGCGTGTGGGGTATCTATGCCGCTGCTTCATGAGGGGAGGTAGCCAGTTCCAGCCCAGCTGGTGTGCAGGCCAGTTTATTTTTTTTCAAATATATTTTTATTAATTTCAGAGAGGAAGTGAGAGAGATAGAAACATCCATGATGAGAGAGAATCATGGCTCGGCTGCCTCCCTCACGCCTCCCACTGGGGATCGAGCCCACAACCCGGGCCTGTGCCCGGACCGGGAATCGAATTGCGACCTCCTGGTTCTTAGGTCGCCGCTCAACCCCTGAGCCACGCAGGTTGGGCAGGACGGCCAGTTTAGACCCTGGCTGGTGTCTTTGCAACTGGCCGCTTTGGTCCTTGGTCAGTGTGCAATGCAGACCGGCACAGGGAAGCCCATTCTAGGTTTTCCAGGTGGGAGAGCCCCTCCGTTTCCCCCGCCCCTTCCCTCTCCCCCTGCCCGCCCCCCGCCCTCTGTGGGCCTCCCACACATCTGGGTGAGCGTTCCTCATGCTACCTGTTGGGTCTCCCATTCCAGCCTTTCGCTTGACCACAGAAGGAGTTGGACATGGGGAGGGGTAATTCCTCCCCCCTCATCGGGGACGTGGGGTTTCTCTGGGAGAAGGCTGGACCCACGGGAGGCTTCCCACTGGGAAAAGTAGGAGCCACTTGGGCCAGGGCTCCCCCAGAGCGGGATTAGGGGCCTTGGAGCAGGACCAGTGACCAGAGCCTGGGGGACCCCGGATCTTCCATCCCCACCCCACATCCGTGACAGAGCCCGTGACCCCTGTCCAGGCCTCGGGCATCAGCAGACGGAGGCTGCGGGAGGGGAGCCACCGGGAGGGGCCCCAGGTGACCATGCCTTCTGCTCTGTCCCCCCACAGCCCATAGGGGGCAACCACAACGTCTTCCAGGCCAGCTCCAAGCTGGCCCAGTGGCGCATGCGGGTGGAGCTGAGCATCGGCCCCAGCCTCTTCTGGGAGGCCCACGACCGGCTGGTGAAGCTGGGCGAGTGGGACTGCTCCACGCTGGACCCGTCGGTCAAGGAGAGGATCGTCGACTTGCTGCAGAAGTTCAAGTAGAGCAGCCCTCGTGCAGCGCCCGGCTGCTCAGCCCTCTGAGCCTCCTTTCTGGGGACACACACCCAAAACCACTGTTTCTTTGTCCAATAAAGAACCAGAACCACCGCCACGGCTGCCAAGCCTGCGCCCTCGGGGTGGGCACAGATCTGCTGTGGGAGTGGGTGGGAGTGGGTCCTCCCAGCTCCCAAAGGAATTTAAAAATTAAAGGTTAGCAGGGGTGGGGGGGAGGTCGGGCGGGGATAGACCATATGTTAGGCCGTAAAATCTCCAGTTTAAGCAGATACAAATCATAACAATGCATGGTCTCTGAATGCAATGGAATAAACCAGAGAAATCTGGCTCCGGACTCCATGCCCTTAGCCCCACACTTGTAGTGGTTCTCAACCTTCCTAGAAATGCCGCGACCCTTTCATACAGTTCCTCATGTTGTGGTGACCCCCAACCATAACATTATTTTCGTTGCTACTTCTGTTATGGGTTGACTCAGCGAGATAGACCACTGACTCAGAATTTAAATTTAGGAACCTTTATTAAGCTGGCCAGCTGTCTGCAGTTCAAAGCAAAGGCTGAACTGCAGCCCTGACTGCAAGAGTTACAGCATATTTATTTGCAAAAACTACAAAGAGCCGAAACCGGTTTGGCTCAGTGGATAGAGCGTCGGCCTGCGGACTGAAGGGTCCCAGGTTCGATTCCGGTCAAGGGCATGTACCTGGGTTGCGGGCACATCCCCAATAGGAGATGTGCAGGAGGCAGCTGATTGATGTTTCTCTCTCATCGATGTTTCTAGCTCTCTGTCTCTAGCCCTTCCTCTCTGTAAAAAATCAATAAAATATATTTTAAAAAAACAAACAAAAAAAAACTACAAAGTTACAAAGCCTTGTTTACGCAATTTGTTCCCGACACAGTATAGCATTATCACCTTCCTATCTATGTTTTCCGGGAACAGAGAGCACAGTATATTGAGGAGGAACCATGAGACCATATCTCAAGGCCTGACCTGATGTCAGTACCTTCCTGTCTGTTCCAGGAACAGACAGCACAGCGAGCCCCGATATGCAGCCCAGTACACTTCATAACTGCAATGTTGCTACTGTTATGAATCGTCATGTAAATATCTGATATGCAGGATGGATTTTCAGGGGTCGCGACCCACAGGTTGAGAACCGCTGCTGGAGGCTGGTTCCAGCAAGTGTCAGAGCCCTGGGGCCCAGGGTGGGCATTGTGCGGCGGCTCCCTTCCCTCCACTTGCACACCCGGGAGCCTCACCACCTTGGCCCTCCTGCCCGGGTGGGCACAGGGCCTCACCGGCGCTGGGATGGCTTCTCCCCTTCCCTGGGCCTCTGTTTCTCCCTCTTTAACAGGATACGGACCGACCCAGCCCTCCCACCTCTGCATATACATCCGAAAACTTTCTGCGTCTGTATTCACGCCGGGGCCTTCATTTCATCTGTAAAATGGGGCTGATAGGAGATTCTCATCGATGCTAACAGATGGAACTGGAAGCTATCACCCTACATCCAACCAGCCAGCCACAGAGCGCTGAGACTGGGAGCCCGCAGCCTGACCCTCAGAGGGGGGACCCGCCCTGCCCGTCGCCCCCCCTCTGGCTGCGCCCTGAGCCCCAGGCTGCAGCCTCTTGGACACGCCCGCCCGTCGGGGCGGCACCAGCCGTTGGACCTGGAACGACCTCCAGGGGGCGTGGCCCCGGAGCCGAACCGGTCCGCGTCTCGCCGCGCTGCGCGCAGTGTCCCAGGGTCAGGGTCGCGAGCTCGGCGCCCCGCCCCCGCCATGGGCCTGGAGCTCTACCTGGACCTGCTGTCCCAGCCCTGCCGCGCCGTCTACATCTTCGCCAAGAAGAACGGCATCCCCTTCGAGCTGCGCACCGTGGAGCTGCTCAAAGGTGGGCCCGGCGGGGGTTCCGGGAACCGAGAGGTCGGGGAGGAGCGGGGAGGCCACACGTCGCTTGGGGGGGAAGGGGGGATCCCCTCCCCGCGCCGCCTCCTTCCTGGAAGCTCCGAGACCCTGGGAACCCCGGGAACTCTGCTTGGGGGCCAGATGGAGGAGAGACCTGCCGGGCTCCGTGGCTGAGCAGCGACCTGTGACCCAGGAGGTCGGGGCACAGGCCCGGGTTGCAGGCTCCATCCCCAGTGGGGGGCGTGCAGGAGGCCGCCGATCCATGGTTCTCTCTCTTCCTTGATGTTTCCATCTCTCTCCCCCTCCCTTCCTCTCTGAAATCAATAAAAATAAACAAATAAATAAATAGGAGAGACCTGGTGAAGAAGGGGGTGCCCTGGGCCTAGGGACAGGGGCCTTTAGAAAAGGGAGGAGAGAGGCGGCAGGAGGAGAGGGGTTAAGGCCGCCCAGTGTGGAGCTGGGACCGCGTCCAGCCCCGCCTGGGCAGCCTCCCACTCTGAAGTTCTGCAACAGCTCGCACTGCCCCCACCTTCCAGCCCTTCTCTCGCACCCGCCCAGCCTGCACTGGTGCCCCTTCTATCCCTTCCTCCTCCTCCTCCTCTCCCTCCCTCCCTCCTCCCTCTCCTCCTCCTCCTGCTCCTCCTGCTCCTCCTGCTCCTCTTCCTCCTCCAACTTTGCCTTGATTCACTCTGTCCTCTGTTTCTCTTGTTCCTGATGGGGAGGGGGTGCTCCATGGTGTACCCTGGGAAAGGGAGGAGGGTTTGGGGGGCTCGGTGAACCCTACACCCTGAGCAAGAGGATTTGTTTCTTTGGCAAGGCCCCAAGGACACGGCTGGCACACGGAGTCCTGGCATGTGGGTGCAGAACCCACGATCGCCTGGAGGAGAAGTAGGGCAGCTGGCCCTGGCCCGTTGGGCTCCGTGGACAGAGTGTCGGCCGAAGGGTCCCGGGTTTGACTCAGGTCAAGGGCACGGACCTGGGTTGCAGGTTCCCCTGCCCTGGCCGGGGTGTGTGTGTGCAGGAGGCAGCCAATCGATGTGTTTCTCTCACATTGATGTTTCTCCGTCACTCCCTCTCCCTTCCACTCTCTCTAAAAATCACTGGGTCACTGGGGAAATGCGCTGGGGTGAGGATTAACAACAACAACAGCAGGATGACGCGGCCGAGCCTTCGACCCAGCACCCAGCGCCTCTCCACCACGCCCTTGTGCCGGCCTGTCTTTCTGTCGGAATCACCCTGTCTTCCCAGCCTCCTCTGTGGACTGCCACCTGTCCGGCCCGGGGTTCCCTCTGCAGAGTGTGGGGCAGGAGAGGGCACGGGGACTAAGGGGTGTCCCAGCCAGGATGTCAGACAGAGGGGTGTGCCAAGGGAGGAGTTTCTCACAGGAGAGGAGGGAGGGTGCCTTGGTGCAGGCATAGTGTGAAGGGAGGGAGGGAAGGAGGGAGGGAGGGAGGGTGGGTGGTGGGTGAGGTCACCGCTGGAGGGTTAGGGGTTGTGTGTGGCTTTGAGAAGCTCTCCCCAAGGCAGGGGTAATGGGGAGCCACTGAAGGCTGTTGAGCAAGCAGTGGTTAAACTTTAAAAAAATATGTTTTTATTGACCTCAGAGAGAAAGTGAGAGGGAGGGAGAGAAGAACATCATCGATTGGCTGCCTCCTGCATGCCCTCTAACTGGGCATGTGCTCTGACCGGGAATCGAAGGGTGACCTCCTGGTTCATAGGTCGACGCTCAACCACTGAGCCACACTGGCCGGGCGACTTAAGTGCCTTCAGAATCTTCTCTCCGGGTGCATCTGCAGGAGCAGAAACCTCTCAGATAAACTCCAGCGAGGCCAGGATCCTGTAGGGAGTGGGCACAGGCCCTACAGGGCTCCCCATTCTCCTCTGACCACCCACCATGATGCGCTCTCCGCAGGCCAGCACCTCAGCGATGCCTTTGTCCAGGTGAACCCCCTCAAGAAGGTGCCTGCCCTGAAGGATGGCGACTTCACCTTGACAGAGAGGTAACTGGGGCCCGGGGCTGCTCCCAGACCTCGCTGGGACCATCTTGTTCTAACCCTCTATTTTATCTTATTTTATTTTTTAAAATATATTTTTATTGATTTCAGAGAGGAAGGGAGAGCGAGAGGGAGACAGAAACATCCATGAGAGAGACTCATGGATTGGCTGCCTCCTGCACACCCCCTACTGGGGATGGAGCCCACAACCTGGGCATGTGCCCTAACCGGGAATTGAACCCAGGGCCCTTCAGTCTGCAGGATGATGCTCTATCCACTGAGCCAAACCGGCTAGGGCCACAGTGCCCTTTCTATACCCATCATGTCCTCCCTCCCCTGCAGTGTGGCCATCCTACTCTACCTGACTCGCAAGTTCAAGGTCCCTGACCACTGGTACCCTCAGGAGCTGCAGGCTCGTGCCCGCGTGGATGAGTACATGGCATGGCAGCACACGACCCTGCGGAAAAACTGCCTCCGGACCCTGTGGTATAAGGTGAGGCCCAGACAGGGGCAGTGAGGGCACCACCTCCAAGAGGCTCAGGCACCGTCACCTTCTCCTTTTCCGTTTCACTCATTCTTCCTTCTGTTGTGCTCAGGTTGCTGTTAAGCCCATCGAATATATATATATATATATATATATATATATATATATATGTTTTTTATTGATTTCAGAGAGGAAGGGAGAGGGAGAGAGAGAGAAACATCAATGATGAGAGAGAGTCATTGATTGGCTGCCTCCTGCATGCTCCTTACTGGGATCAAACCTGCAACCTGGGCATGTGCCCTGACCTGAATCAAACCCGGGACCCTTTAGTCTGCAGGCCAACGCTCTATCCACTGAGCCAAACTGGCTAGGGCTGGGCCTCACTTTTTTAATATACAATGCAAGTCATGTACTGTTATTCCTATATCATAGTTGAGGAAATCGAGGCTCAGAGGGTTTGGGTGTTTTGCTCTAGGTTCTGCAGTTTGTAAGTGATAGAGTGGAGACCTTAAAAGCCCATCATCCTGCCCTAGCTGGTTTGGCTCAGTGGATAGAGCGTCAGCTTGTGGACTGAAAGGTCCCAGGTTCGATTCCAGTCAAGGGCACAGGCTGGGGTTGCAGGCTCGATCCCCAGTGGGGGGTGTGCGGGAGGCAGCCAATCAGTGATTCTCTCTCATCGTTGATGTTTCTATCTCTCTCTCCCTCTTTCTTC